TGTTTGATGTATTTATGCGACCACATGTAAATCATGATGTAATCACCAGGAAGTCAAACTGAGATTGACTTAGAGTTTACAAGGTTCTTGCCCCAAGATTAAGATGTGTCCCACATTTTTCCTTTATTTTATTATTTTTTCTATCTGCATTTTACTCTCATGTTTTATTACTTTGTATTATTGGAAAGCTTATTACAGTTTTACTTTATGAAACACTTAAGAAGACTAAGTTTATTAATGGCTTAATTTAGAAACAATGCAATTCTCATTTAATAAATTAAACTAGAATTCTGTAAGCCAGTTATTTCATATTCATAAACAATACTCTTAGCACATTTTTTTCAATAAGGCCAGAAAACTAATGTATAGCAGAGAAAAAAGTGTACATGAGAGTAGATTTTATGTTTCACGCAAACCAAAACTCAAAGGTAACCTGTTATTTTACAATCTTCACCTTCCCTTCAATTATACCAGCTTTAATATTTTTCCTTTGAATTCCCCTGAGTCAGATGGTTCTCTTAAGCTTCAGGATTATAAAAACAAGAAACCTTTCCAAAATCATATGGTTAAAGTCTCAACCTGCCGTTAAAAATACTACTGGTGAGGCCAGTGCTGCATTCTCTGGACAGCTTTCATAGGCTATATGAACTCAGAGAGTCACAGTGAACTGTAGGGAGCATGGCATTCTGTACCACCCTGTCCCTGGAAAAATACCATGGCAGACTCTGGGAATTGTCTACCCAACATGTATTTCCTGCCTCACTGGCCCTTTTCTCTTTCCAGTAAAGAGGCTGAAAAAAGATTACTTTCCCATCTTCCCTTCCATCTGGGGATAGCCTTGTCACCAATTTCTGGCTAAAAAGACATAGGAAAACATCATTAGTGTAGTGCTTTTCAAAATCAGCTGTGTATAGGTATCACCCGGAGATAGTGCCAAAATGCTGAAATCGGAATCAGGCAGAGCCAGGGATATTGCATTTTAATAAGGTCACTAGTGGTGGGTGATGCTGTGATCTGAGGACCACAATTTGAGTTACAAAGTCTTAATGGGCTTCTAGCAAGGATTTTCCTTCTTGATTTGGGCAGCAGGGAGAAAAAATCCTCTTGTTCTCCCTTCTGGCTTCCTGCTTTCTAATAGAATTGAAGAAGGACATAAATTTGGAGTGGGGTGACCCATCTTATACCTAAGAGTAATGGAAGCTAGCATGCTGAGAATAGCAGAATAGAAGAATAGAACATGTCTAGGACTTTGATGATGTCACTATGCCACTGAAGTCAGCTAATCTTGGCACCTTCTACTTCTAGACTTTTTAAAAATGGAATAAGAAGTATCATTATGACTTAAGTCGCTACTTGTAATATTTTCTACTATATGTAACCTAACAGTTCTTATATATTACACAAACTAACCTGGTACATCCAGAGCCAAGTTTATAACCTATTAGTCCTAAGGCAAATCCCATTTCTTATAGTCAGTAGCCTACAGAGAGTAACTGGGCCTGAGGAATGGTAATTCTTTGGCTGCCAAGTCTTCTGGGAGCAGAGAACATTCACTCATGTGCTGCTAGATGAAAAAAATATATATTCTTAGGATTGTGGCAATTAACCTGTGGCACAAAAATGGGGGAAAAGTGAATGGAGAGAGGCATAAGATTTGGAAGTGTTTCTTGCGTTTTCTTATTCTCTAATTAAACTATTCTGAGGAATGACAGAACAAGTGGTTTCCTATGAGTGAGCTCATAAAGTGAAGTTTACTGCTGAAACTCATTGGCATCCAAAGGCATTTTTTGGTATCTAATACTGAAGGTATGGGTTGCAGAATTATAGTAAATTAACTAATGTGCACTATTTTGGAAAAGCATGACACTTGCTTCTCCTAATATTAAACAAATATAGGGTGAATATAACTTTGTTAACAATGCATTTTGAATTTGTTTGCTCTATCTTTAAGAATATTTTACCCCCAAAGTTCTGATAGTTCCAATTCTGTCCAACTCTTTGATAGCTTTCTCTCTCACATATTAATTTTCTCCTAGTATTAGTTAAGTTACAATCTTACCTGCTGTGAAAAACAAACAATAGTAGCTTAAATTAGATACAAAATTATGTCTGCCTCATCTGACATCCAAAGACAGATATGGAACTTCATGGTCAGCTCCTTACATTTCCACATTCTCCATTGGCTATTGAATGGATATGGTTCAATGCAAGTCCATTGGATTTCATCTTCCACTGCCTAATGTTTCCACATGGAAGAGATACACCTCACTTTCCTTTTCTTCCCATTAGCCAAAGCAAGTTACAACTTTATGAAAGTTAGGGAATCACAATAACCACATGCCCAGAAGGAGGCGAATGAGAATATTTTTAAAGAGCCAAATAACTGCCACAGTATTTAAACAGTGAATTGCAAATGCCATGTAAGACTAGAAATGCTAGTAATCATGATTGCTAGAACCAAATCAAAATTAAATGACTCCCCCTAATTTGGCTGCCAACTGTGTTAATCGCCATCCTCCCTACTTTGTGCAGTTTTTTTTTTTTTTAATGACTTTCTCAGATACAGGTCATACCTACTAATGTGTGGTCTAATAGCCAGAGTAGAAAGGAAACCATGATTCTGTTGGTCTATATTACATTGAGAAATTTGTCATGCAGCTAAAAGTTATCACCTTTGATGTTCAAAAAAAGGTATCTTTCAAAGCTATTTTTCATATTCCTCTAGAATTACTACTTTGGACAGTGCTGGAACTAGGAAAAAATGTGAATAGGGTACGATTTAGAGACAGTTTATAACATTTTGAAGGTAATAACCCCTTTCTACTCTCTATCTTGCTTTCCAAGTCTTCTGTAAGTCCAATACCAACACCTAAGTTTTCACTTTCCAAGGAGAAATTCTTATTCGGACTCAATTCCATCTCAAAATTTATCATCAAAATTTAACTCCACTGTGATCTATTCTTTAAAGACAAAGGTCTTTGCTAATCAATATGAAAAAAAAACGTATTACAAAGAGTTCGTGGTCAAAAGGAATTGAATATGTAATTATTCCAACTAATAAATTTGTAAATTTACAAGGGCCTTCAATACCTTAAGCCAAAGGAGAAAGAATAGGAATCTCAGTGTTCAGGAAAAGAATTATGGAAGATCTCTTTGAACAGATCTTCCCTGGGGGTTTCCCTTAAATCACTCCATAGGCCTTAAAATGCTTGTTATAAACATGAATGATACATCTTTTTTATTATCCTGCTATTAAAGTAACCTGAATGATACCATCTGATGTTGGCGAAGATGCAGTTTAACTGACCTCTAATACATTGCCTTGTATTGGAATGGGATGACTTCTGTTGAAAAGGCAGTTTTGATGATAAACTCAATCAATTAATCTAAGATTATGCATTAAATGTGACTGCTGATGAACGTTAGGCAAAATGCAAAAGAAACATTCAATGGTCCTATACACAGTCTCTTCTCCTGGCATACTGCCTTCTTTGAGTTCCTCTAATACATATATGTCCCTTTGCTTTCACGTGCCATTAGGTTTCCTGAAATGCACTCATCCCCCTTTCTCTATCCCATCTTACAGTTTTGCTGACTAATTCCTCATTGATTATGCTTTATTTCAATGCTACTTCCTCTAAGAAGTCATTCAAGGCTCTATGAGGAGGGGATTCAGTTTCTTCTATGTGTTTCCATAGGACCTCTACTTCCTCAAAGTACTGGTCACTCAGTAGGCTAGTCTGTACTACCCATAATAAGGAAAACCCCAACAAGGCAGAGACAGTGGCTCCCTTGGTGCTATGGTCTGAATGTTTGTGTGTCCCACCTCCACCTTGACCTACAAATTTATATATTGAAATATTAAGCCCCACAGTATTTTAGGAGGTTTGGGACCTTTGGGGAGGTGATTAGGTCATGAGGGCAGAGCTCTCGTGAATGTAACTATTGCCCTTATATTATAAAAATAGGCTTTAAAAAGCTTGTTTGCTCCTTCCACTCTGTGAGGACACAATAAGAAAACAGCCTGCAACCCAGAAAAGGGCCCTCACCACAACCTAAACATGCTGGCACCCTAATCTTGGACCATCCGGTCTGTGGTATTTTGCTAGAGCAGCCCAGTATACCAAGGTACTTGGTCACTCTTGCCTTCTTAGTACATCAGAAATAGTATCCGTAGTACTGCTCAAAAGCATATTTTGAATAAATTAGTTAATATATTTAGCATTGTAGAAGACTGTCTCTTTATAATGTACTTACTGGTTTTACCCTTGCCTGATGTTAGGGTTTCAAAATTTAACTGTTGTAGGAAAGCAATAAGAGATACAGAGAGATCTACTCTGTTATATATAGATCTAGGTAGATTAATACATTACCTAGAAATATGTAGACAATCTCACTATTAGGTGAAACAAAATATGTAAAAAACTATAAGCACAAAGATATGCCTAGCAGTCTTCTTTATCTTATCAAATATCAGTGTATTCTAAATGTTCCTAAATAGGGGAATGTTTAAATTAATTATAGAATTATGCTTGAATGGAATAATATGTACCCATTGAAACGATGGATATAAAAAAGGACGGTTGAGGAGACTATGTCACAACATGGAAACTCCTTATAATAAAATGTTAGTCAATTACAAAGTAAGATACTAAATCATGTGGACATCATTATTGTAAGTATGTGAAAACGTTTGTATGAAAATAATGATTGCATTTAACTAAAGAATTGTGGTTTTTTTTGGTTTATATTTCTATTCATGTGATTATGTTACTTTTATATAAAGTATGTAATAATGATATTTGTAACTTTAAATGCAATAGAATCTGCATTATGGGTGACAAAATAAGAGTTGGTCTAACCTTTGTGATCCAAAGTTTAAGAGATAAGATACAAAGAATGAAAACCAATATTGACTGGATCAAAAAAGAGATTTTACTTCATGTGATTAGTTAATAGGAAATAAATTGCTAATTCAATAAAACTTGTTTCTTTCGCAGAACTCTTTTTGCCCAACAGAATGTGGACAGCAGAACTGTTCCATACGTGGCGAGGAAGGCACACCTGGAAGGTAGTGATGCTGGCGCAGTGGGAAATGCATCAGTGTGTACAATTCTTCTCTGGTCTTTGTAAATAGAAATGCTCACTTTCTATGTGAAACACCTAAATCATTCGATGTGAAATTCAGAATAAATTTAAAGGTAGAACAAGCAAATAGCTAAACAAAGGAGTGTTTCAGAAAGGAAATATATCAAGCTTTGGCTCAAAAGCAAAACAATCTTTTCATGAAGGGACGTGTTCACAGCCTCTATTAAATGCATACTCAATCACAAAAATAAAGCCCATCTGTTTAATATTAGCTTTTGTAATAAACATTTTAAAGAAAGGGATGTAGAAGGCAAATATGTATTGTAAAACAAAATGTGTACTCTTGGGATAAGTAAAACTTCCTCTGAAAGAACTCCAAAGCTTGTTCTTTATACCAAAAGCAATAACAATTAGTTGCATGACACCACAATAGCAGAGGCATATTCTACCCTTTGAGAGGAAAGGATATTAAGCTGAAAATTGAGCATATGATCCCATAGTATAGAATGCCAAACTTCCTTGGATGCAACTTACCAAAGCAAAATTATATAGCTGAAGTGTATCCTAAAATTTAGAGACAGAAATGATATGTTTTAAAATCATGACTTAGATATACTAAAGTTTCTGGCTACATTAAGAAGTTAATTGTCATGTACTTCGATACAGAATCAAGATGTACTAATTTTTATTGGTACACTGGCGTTAAGTGAATGTATAGCATATGTTTAAAAGGATGTATCTGAGAAAACAAGGTTGAGGGGAATAGAATACTGAAGTCTAAACTGAGGGTCGTTTCAATATTTTATTAGCCATTTTATGCATATGAACACAGACCATATTAGATATTTAGCAAGCAGGTGGAAAAAACCTGTTTCTGTCAGGGAAAGAATTACCTCTATTGAGAAACACATGTGAATAGGTCTGTCTAGTTTGGAAGAAGTTGCCTCTCTTGGTCAACATTGGATGGTAGGGAGCTGTTCTATCCAATGTAACAAGCACTGGCCACATAGAGCTATTGAAATGTACATGGTAAATTAATTAAAATCTAATGTCACATTTAATTCATTAAGTGCTTAATAGCCATATATGATTAGTGGCTACCATATTATGTAGTGCAGATTACAGAACATTTCCATCATCATAGAAAGTTCTGTTGTATAGGACTGGTCTGGGTAAAGTTTGAGAGACAGAGAAAGTACTCCACGGGAATCTTGGACTTAGAGGTGAGTAAAACTTTCACAAAGTGGCAAGGGGATCTGAACAGAGAGGTGAAAATTGCAGTGTGGTGAGAAGCTAGAATCTTGTTAGAAAAGAGGGACTGTTGACTACAGAAATGTCTGAAGTGTTTTTTCAAAAACGAATACCTAATATTCAATGCTCCACCTCCTCCCAATGATACCTTTTGTTACAAATCTTCAGGAAACCTAGAATGGAACAACACAGCAAGGGCTGCTGCCTGGGCATTAGAAATAGAACACCACACCCAATGGCTAAAGCTGGTGGCCAGAGATAAGAACTTAGAGGCATCTCTCCTGCCTACCAGACTGGGCCCCCTGTTTTCCCGCCACTTCCTTTAAATAAACGACTCAGGCATTTGCCCATGAACTTAAAGTGACCCATATTCTGCTAGCTGCCACTCTCTCTTTCTCTCTGCCTGACCTTTCATTCCTGCCTCACGTGATCGAGAGCTGCCCTCCAGATTCATGGCACCCTCCCTGCCCAAGGTCTGTAAGTAAAAAGCTTTGACTTTGTTTCTTTTTGTGTTGGTGTATTGAATTTTCACCTTCCATCTGAAGAACCAGCGACTATCCTAGACTGGATTTTCCAAGGAAGGCCAGGATGAACACAACAGCAGGCTCCCAGTGCTAAGGCCATGGTCAGTAGGCATAAACTGGACACAGGCCAGGCAAGAGTCTCAAGGATATCTGGCAATATAACCAAGTTCCCCATGTGAGGGACATCCTGGTCTCAGGTCAGACAGCTAGGCATTAAGCCATCTGGTAGGTGAAAGAAGTGTTCTATGAAAGGCTCCTTTTCATTTCCTGTTAGGGCAGGATTGCTAGCCTCTCTGGTACTGGAACCACAGTTTAGCTAGGGGCTCTAAAAACAACTCTCCTCCACACATAGCTATGGGTCAATGGTATCTGGGGCAGTATGGGTCAGTATCATATTCAGCAGATGGAATGAAGCATAGAGATTAGAAATTCAATAGAAATAGCAACTTAAGGTCAGAGGTGACCAGGTAAGAAAAATAAGACACCGGCCCCACCTCAGTACCCCAACATAGCCATAAGAAAGGATCCCCAGAGAGCTGTCTAAAGCAACTTGTATTAAATTAATCTAAGGCGACTTCAGTTGATTGTAGAATTACTTCAATTCTCCAACTGATACAAGTTACACACATGTGAAAAAAATTATAAATTACTATTCCTTTGTCTTTATTTCCTGACAGGCAATAAACATTTTCTTAGGCATTAAGAAGCATGAAGTAAAGAACCCAAATGCATTCTCCTCTATTTATTCAGCTCAGAAAAGGCTTAAGTTCAAAAGACCTAGAGATAATTTTTATGAGGTGGAAATTTCTTGACTGACAATGAGAGATCGATCATGGAAACTTCCTCTCACCCTTCTTTTATCTTTGTCGGCTCTTTGCTGCTGTTTTCAGATGTGTTAGGAATAGAGAGAAACTTCTGGCAGACCTATTTTGTGAGGTAGATATTCTAGCTCGGAATAAAGTAAAGGTTTATGTCACCAGATTTCTTGGTCAATACTAGGAAGACGTTTAGCCTCTTGGGTGGGTGCAAGAGTAACTGACTGTTCTTTTGTTTTCCAGAAACCAGTAACATCCACCGTATTAAACAAGAATTTGTTGTTTATTTGTGGATTTTTTTAAGTCTTTTGGTCAGCGCTGCAAATAATAAAGACGTCTAAAATTAAATGAATACCAAAATAACTATGGCATTTCCTTAGTTAAGCATAATGGCTTCTTCAGAGCAGACTCACTGCATAAACACTGAACATTTTCTTTCCCGCCAGTAACATCTGTGAACAAGTTCACCACTTGGGAAAACAAGAGACTAATAACTATGTCCAGACACGGGTGGGCACAGGTGCTTCAACAAACCATTCCACAAACACACCCCAGTTCCGACAAGTGAGCTATTTCTGACTGATCTTTGAGACTTCCAGTCACACTGTGTGTTTGGCCTGGGAGCAGGGTGACCCACTGGCAGGGCAGTCAGCATCATTAGCTCAGGGGATGGACTTTACTGGCAGAGTGCCTTCCCTGAACATATTGACTCTCCCAACAGAGAACGGCAGCCCAGCGATTTATTAAAAGCAATTGTGTGTTTCCTTGGTCTAGCCAAACATTTGGTGCATGTTACACAACCCTCTAAGACCAAGCTTCAGTCTGACTCCGAAGAAAAGCTTTCCCCCACTAGTCCCAGTTATAATGAACCACTGATCTCCCACAGCGGCCATTTTCTGGGATGTTCATTGGATACTTAATCATGTACTGCCTTGTGAGAGGTACTTCTTCCACTTGTAACAAACATTTTTTATTTTTCTCATTTAAAATGTTTGCAATTTACCCCTGTTAAATTAAATTTATGGGATGGCATTGTATTGAGCTCAGCTTGTACGCAAGGCCCCAAGAGACCAGCCCAACCCGGAATGGAGTCATGCGTGCTAGGTGCCACATAATCAAACTGATCATGGCTTTTAAAAAGCCAGTTTGAACAACAACAAAAACAAACCAGATTTTCAGCAACCAATCCAAACAGGTCCAGTCATCCTAAGCTGGCATGATAAGGAAACTCTCTCTTCCTTAACCCTGTAAGGAAAGTAACTTTTAAACAATGAATCCACATTTTGTTTCTTGTTTTATGTCCTTCAGCCTTTCTGCCTATAAAGCCTACTCCCTCTGCTCAGCTCATTCGAGTGCCTTTCTGTTTTGTAGATGGAATGCTGCCTGATTCACAAAACACTAATAAAAAACAATTCGATCTTTTCAACACAACTTGTTGAAATTTTGTTCTTTTTCACCCTTAACTAAATTTCATACTCTTTGATGGTAGACATTTTTAAAAAAAAATTATCTGATTTGTAATAGTATTAAATGTGACAGCTTATGTCTAATAGGCCTTAATCTATTTTTGTGAATTTGAAAATAGATTTTTAACACTGGAATTTAGAAATAAGCATAAACTCCTAACCCCTTATAAAATTGTTTTGGGTAGCAAAATGTCATTTATCTAGCATTCTAGTAGTGTCAGAGGGAGAGAAATTCTCTTTTATTAAAGCTGGGGATTGGTGAGTGTGTGAAGAGAAAAGGCAGAACAGATACTCTAAGGCTCGGGAGATCCAGAGTCATTATTCAATGTGCTAGCAGAAGGAAATCCGCTGAATCAATTAACTACTCAAATGTATACTGCCTGTCTCTAGAATCATCCAGATAAAAATCAAATGCTCTTCTCTGCTTCCTAACACCCGCTGTATGGAGGCTGGTTATTTTATAATGATGATGATGTTCTGGTCATAGACACAGAGTATCTAGATTTTGCCTATAATTGCCACATTTTATGCTCACATATTGAATGCATCAGCTAAAACATGTTCAACGTTTAGCAGGTCAGTGCCTTTAGAATACAAAGTTAGCAAACAAGCTCTTTTTCCAAATGACATTTTACTTCAAAGACCTGTGAGAAGTGAACACAACCTATTATTCTTGAATACTCTAAAAAAAAAAAAATCCTAGAGAATTAGAATTATTTGGCCTGTGCAAAAGACAGAAAATTTTGAGAACAAATTAGCTGTTCTCAACCTTTTCAAAAAACAAAGCGGAAATGCATACATAAAATGCCTTTAATACATGTATAGCAAGAGGGGATTTTTCTTTACTTTCATTTTTGAGAATGACAAGCATGTGTGTTTTTATTAAACCGGAGGCAGACTTTGTTACCATAATGGTGTATCAAATATATGTACACATGAAACCATTACTATAATCATGATAGTGAACACACTGATCACCTCTGAAAGTTTCGCCATGCTTATTTATCTCTCTCGCCTGTCTCCCAACCTGACCTCACCATCCCCAGAGGGACACGGATAACCTTCTGACACTATAGATTAGTCTGTATTTTCTAGAATTTTTTATAATTGGAATAATATATTAGGTAACCTTTTTTGTTTGGCCCCTTTGACTCAGCATAACGATTTTATGATTCATCCATGTTGTGTTCAGTACTTTTTATTGCTGAGTAGTATGCCATTGTGTGGCTATGTCAAAATTTGTTAATCCATTCACCTGTCGATACATTTTGGGGGTTGCTTCCAGTTATTGGCTATTATCAATAAAACTGCTAACATTTGTATGTAAGTCTTTGTATGGGCATATGCTTTTATTTCTCTTGGGTAAATACCTAGGAGTGGAAAGGCAGAATCATATGATAGGTGTATGTTAATCTTTTTAAGAAACTACCAAATTGCTTTCCAAAGTGGTTTCCATTTTACATTGCCAACAGCAATATATGAGAGCTAAATTTCCTCTACTTCCTTGCCAACATTGATGTGATTATACCTGTAATTCTAGTTATTCTACTAGATGTGTAGTAAAGTTTTGTGGTTCTTTATATTCACCTTATATGTTCAAATGCCAATTTATAGAATGATATTCTCAACTCACTATGTTTTAAAACTACATCTTTACCAGTAATAATCACAGTGTCACTGGCCATAGGGGCCTGGTAGGATTCAAAACCATAAAGCAATCAATATCCAAGTGGAGGCGTCTCATCATCTTGTTGACTTCATGGTATTTATAGTTGAGTGAATGCTGGATCACCAGTGTGTCTGTCAATTTCTCTTTGGAAAAGACCTAGTGAAATTGTTGTCATATTATATGAGAAAACACCCATCTGTGGCACTGTTTTCTTTAGGTCTGTAATTTAATGAGCAAAAGAGACAAAGAAGAAGTTCTTAAGCTACTTTGTGTTTTACACTTGAGAGAGATGTGTAGGATCAGGAAGGGGATGGACTGAGTATAAAGGGCCACACTGCCCTGTTTTCCCAGTCCTAGAATAAGAAAGCTTATGTAAGAGGTAATGCTTTCAGAATCCATCAGTCATATCTCACACTGGATAGACTCTACCTTCTGGTGTTTTTATCACTCACTGTTTCAGTTCCCTTTTAGCTCACTCAGGAACCCAGTTTCCTAGGGATTTTTTATTGCTGTACCTTGGACTAGAACAAAGCATGACTTTGGGCAGTTGTGTAGCCAGATAGAAACAACAGGGCTTGAAGAAGGCAGTGGGTTGTATCTCACCAGGGAAGAATTTATTTAACGGGAATTTTAATATTTGATATATTCTCCCTTACAGTAATACAGTTTTCCGTTTTCCCTTACTGCTCTTCAACAATTAAGGCCAGACTCAGAGTTTTATTATTCCAGGAAAATAATGTATAGATATTCCCTGGATCAAAAATGCCACTCTTCAGATTTGAGTCTAAAATCAGATTTTTAAAATATTTTGTGAAACAACAGCATTAACATTCAGACCCTGTTGAAACAAAAACTTTTCAAAAAAAGAAATTCCAAACTTTTCTTTATATATCAAGATCAAAACATGGGAGTGTGAACCTAAGTATTATAAGCCACAGTAAAGAAAGGAACGAAGATATGGTGTAGGGAAAGACTTCATCTAACAGAAATAAAAAAAGATTTTTCTAATTGCTGTGAAGCAGAGCCAAGAGAGGGTGAAGGTTTGGCAAGAGGTCATATACAAGTGTCCTAGCTCCTCTCTTAGTACCAAAGTCCCTGTGATGATGGGTAGAAAGATACCAAACAGGAACAATTCAAGGGCATTGGGGCTAATGGACTGTGTCCATAGAACCAGTCTGTGAGACTATATTCCTTAGCAAAAACCTATGTTCTGTTTGGTCTTGGTGTCTGAAGAGAATAGCAATCGCTGAGAGAAAGGCCTTGAACTATCTCACAGAATCCTGCATGCTGCAGCAAAATGTGGAGGAAGCAGGCAAATGCTCCGGGCTTCCCTGTGGGGCACTGAGGTACCGGACCTGCCGCCCAAGGAAGTCTGTGGTACAGGGGTTAATGCAAAAAAAGGCAATGATGAAGTCCATGGCCAGTTATGTGTGAATTTCAGTACAAGTGCATAGCACCAGTCCAGACAAGGACAGCCACCACTAGCAGGTGTCTGCCTATCCCTCCCAGTAAGGACAAAATACGGCATCTCAGAAAATGCTGAAGACCAGAGGATGGCATGAGGAAGAGATTACCCTCCCCAAATGCTATAAAAATGCATTTGCTTCCACTTATATCCAGAGGTCAGTTTGGACAGAAAGAAAGGGAGTAGAAATTTTGAAACTGAGAACTAATCCTGATAAGAAATTAAAACTAAGAAAATAATATACCTTTGATTGGCAAGCACAATTATTTTTTCTGCTATCATCAGCAGGAATGGGGTTTCCAAGATAAGATGAGATCAGTTTCTGGATATAAAGAAACTACATTTTGTTGCAGATTTGAATTGTACTGTGTGCTTTTTACCAGCTCCCCCGACCCCAATCCCCAACAACCACTGCACCACATGTTCCTATGTGTTAGTAGTGATCCCAGGCAGAATTCTCCAGGGAGAGCCTGGTCCCTCAGCCTCATGCAAATGCTTCTGATCTCCCTGAGTCCCAGTCTAGAGCACCATGGCTACTCCTTTCTCTGGGAAAATGATCCTGTTGCCTTGTGCAGAATACAAATCTCCTGGAATAAATAAACACATATAATGATGCTTTGTTGATTCAGGTCATCTCACCCTTTCTCCTATAGAGGGGAGGACAAGCGAATTAGACACTTGTTTTGACTCTTCCTCAAACATAGATAGTGTATATGAAAAGGAGACACAAAGCAGGTTTATACAAGTCTCTTCTTCTATTCTGTTAGTCTTATATATAGTTCTATAAAAAACACATAAAAATGACAGAAATAATAATTTTTAACTTCTAATTGATTCTAATAATCACATAAAGTAGAAATCTTGACACAATCAGGAATTATAGTTGGTCATTAATTAAAAAGTCAGTTAAAACACCTACTTATGAAAGTTATACATACCTTTCCCTTTTAAATTAAAATATGCATTTATTCACCATTATACAAATTATACAAATGAATGCACTTTTGCTTACCAATCTTTTGATTTAAAGCCAATAGGTCAAATGATTAAACACATGCTGTTATTCTTAATAAACTACTTCACTGTGTATTATTTATAATTTATAATTTTTATTTAATCCACTTATTTAATGTGAATTGAGCTCTTGAAAATACTTGTGAAACAATTTCGGTGTAAAATCATTCTAGAGTAAGATGATTCTCCACTCTATTTTTTACACTAACTATCCACAGGTAATTCATTGGTAATTTTTAATTACTCATCTCTATCTGATTTTGAATAAGTTTTCCACTTAATTTTCATAGAAGCAACTTTTAAAATGTTTTCATTCATAGTTTATTGATTTATATAACATGTGTTTAGTTTACACATTTAATGTTATAAGTACAACTGGCATAAATTGATTTGGAAATAAACACAACTGGTTATGGTATTGGTCAACATATATCTCAATTGGTAGGTGCTTGCCAGAATAAAGGCTGCCAAGAGTGAACATTCAGCAAGCCATGGGCAACAGTGTGCTGGAATGGAAAATACTGGTTAGTATGGAAAGTTGATGAATTGGTCATAAAGTAATAGAGTTTATTACAAAACCATTCCCAGCAAATTCATATTGCATTACACAGCAATTTTTTACAAAGTTCACCAGAAGCATCCTTTATCAATGAAGTCAATCAGTTTTCATGTGCTGCTTTGTAGTGCTCAGTAAGGCACTCTCTAATATGATTTGTTATTTTTGTCTTCATACAGGTTGAGCATCCCTTATCTGAAAATCCAAAATCCAAAACTGTTTGAGCACTGACATGACTTCTCAAGTAGAAAATTTCACACATAAGTATTTAATACAAACTTTGTTTCATGAACCACATTATTTAAATAATGTGTAAAACTACAATAGATCAGGCTATGTATATAATAAAGGGTGTATAAATTTCATAATAAATATGAAATAAATTTCATAAATGAATAACGTAAATAACAAATGAATTTAATGTTAAGAGGGGTCCCATCCTCAAGATATCTTATTATATATATGCAAATATTCCAAAATCTGAAGAAACTTGAAATCTGAAACACTTCTGTTCCTAAGCATTTTGAATAAGAGATATTCAGCCTGTAATCTATTTATTTCCTACCTGGTCCTCTAGCTTTGAGATATTGAGTAAGTCCTGGGTTTTTAATGTACATAGGAAGCTCTTACCTTGGCATTTTAGTTAGTTCTATTCTGCTTTTCTGCAATTATTCCTTATTTTCTTGCCACTGTTTTGCCTACTTTTTATCAATTCCCAAGATCAGTTCTATACCATGTTTTAAATAAGCAAATTTTCAAATTGTTTACCAATCAATAAAGCCAGGACAGGGACACTGTGATGGTTAATTTTATGTGTCAACTTGACTGGGCCATGACATGCCCAGATATTTTGTTAAACATTTTGTCTGAGTGAGAGTTTCAAGAAAAGATTACCATTTGGATCAGACTAAGTAAAGCAGATTTCCCATCCTAGGATGGGTTGGCCTCATCTAATCCGTTGGAGGCTTGAATAGAACAACAGGTCTCCAGTAAGGAAGAGTTTGCTAGCTCAACCTAAGGAAGAGTTTGCTAGCTCAACCTGTTTTCAAGCTGGGGCATCAGTCTTCTCCTGCACTCAGACTGGAACTTATATGATTGTTTCTCCCATTTTTTAGGGCTTCAGACTTGGACTGGAGCTACACCCCCACCTCTCCTGGGTCTCCAGCTTGCAGAAGAAAGATTGCAGGACTTCTCAGCCTCCATAAATGCATAAGCTAATTCCTTATAATAAATCTCTCTCTCTCTCCTCTACACACACACACACACACACACACACACACACACACACACGTATCCTCCTATTGGTTCTGTTTCTCTGGAGATCTTGACTAATACAAGCACCTTTCAATCAGATTGGAGGCTGCCTAATGCTGGAAGTGGGCCATCCATCTCTACTGTGCTAAATTTCAACCTTTTAGTTGCCTGATCACGGAGAGGTCTAGGTGGCCTAGGTAGCAGAAACACAGTCAAAGGCTTAGAACAGCAGCTATTTGTCCTCATTTATCTTAATATTTTAGCAAGTACAACTCTATCTGTGTGTGACAACAAACTACAGAATTCTCTTATAATTCTAAGGCATTTTTAGTGTGTGTGTGTGTTTGTGTACACAAATGCATATGCACACTAACATAACTCCCAGAAATGATTTCCACTGACAAGTCATAAAGAGTTGCAAAAAAAACAATGACTAATTTAGTACATAATACTAATTCTTTTTAGACTTTTCATCACAGGGGGTCAAATATTAATAATTTTACCATAAAAGTGGAGGTAATCGGAAAATATTCTTACTTCTGACGGAATACTTTCAAGTTGAAATGGTGTTATGTTTCAATTAATAGCCTGGATCTCGTTAAGTCATTAACACATTCTAAATTCAGGGACACAAATTTGAAGTAAAGCAAGCGGGAAGGAGGAGGGATCTTTAAGCTTTAAAATATGTCCCTGCTTTAAGCTGAAGTTAAAGCTGACCATATAGAAGACATAAAGTACTTTTTAGTGTGAAATGACGTTTGTGGTTATGTTTCTATTTGATGAAAAATGTTGTTTGTGAAAATCATCCATCCTTATTGTGAAATTTTATTTTTATTAAAAATGTGGGTATTACTCAAGTATTCGTAGATAAACTCATATGCTATCATGAATTTGTTTCAAAAGAATTCAGTGGACAGGTAGAGGAGTAGGAAGTATGGATAAAATGAGATTGGCTGTGTTTGATAATTATTAAAGCTGGTGATGGGTAAATGGGGGTTCATTATATTATTCTATTTTTATGTATGTTTGAAGTTTTCCACAGTACAAAGTTTTTTTCTCTCCATTTTCTATTTTTTTACTTTAGCCATAATTATACTTGTGTCTCTAATTCGTATTTTAAAATGTAAAATGAAAGATCATTAACATGGTATGTATCCAATGAAAACTAAAATAAATCATAAAATAATGAGCCTTTTTTCATAGCCATTCCATTATTAGTCTTTTAATCATGATAGTGTTCTTTATGGGAATTGGAGAAATTACTTTGGGTTCATCATTAGAGAGTTAATAAAGTTTAGAGAATTTCTGTTTGTTAATTCATTTAACAAATATTGAGTACCTCCTTTGTACCAGAAACAGTGTGGGAGGGTTATCTGCACTGAGTGAAAATATATTTTTTTCATTCCCCTCCAACAGACAATCATCAAATATATGCTGCATTTTAGCTATTTTCTTGTTTATCAGCTCAAGGCATACAGCATCCCTTATGAAAATATTGCCGAGTTTTGCTTTCTGCTAAGAAACTTACTATTTTTAGAAATAACACGTTTTCATATTCTGAGTATTTTTTAATTTATTGATTTCTATAAATAGTCCATCATCAAAGTGGGATAGATCAATAGATAAATTAACTACCTTTTGGAACTGGCCTGGTATCTAACATATGAAGAAGGTAAAAATACTAATTATAGAATGGTACAGTAACAACCTTGTGAGAGGCTAATGTCAGGTCTGAAATTTTATTTTACTCTACTTACAAACTATTAAGTCAGACTGTTATGATTTCATATGAAGTTGTAGACCCTTGGATCAGAAACACAGGAGTTTATTAAGCATAACACAGCAAGCAGTGTGAGGTTCTTCCTGCTCAAGTCCCACCAGCATGACTCAATGTGTTCAGATGTTTGGGACACACAGTGGGTTTGCATCGCAGCTAAGGAACACTGAACTTGGAGAATCCACTGCTTTTATAGCAAACAATAAGCAAGCCCATTCTTTTTTCAGTCTGGGGGAATATGCTTACCTCATCGCTCAGAAGAGATTAAAAATATTCAGTGTATCCCAGACAAGGAACTGGGCTAGAGGACGTCTATAGTCACTCCCATCCATGATGTGCTAAGCAGTAAGCTGTGTTCTGCAACTGTGTTTTTCTGTTGCCCATTAGACATGAATTAGACATGAGAATCCCTAAGTCAATCATTCAATAACAGTTGTTGTTGCTTTTTTTTTTTTTGAGACAGGATCTTGCTCTGTAGTCTAGGCTGAAGTGCAGTGGTATGATCATAGCTCAGTGCAGCCTTGCACTCCTAGCCTCAAACAATCATCTCACCTCAGCCTCCCAAAATGCTGGGGTTACAGGTGTGAGCCACTGTGCCTGACCTGACCCCAATCACAGTTTTTAAACAGAATAAAAAGATACAATTTTTCAGTAATAAGTTTCTCCTTCTTTTTGGACCCCATTCTTTTATGCTAAATACTTAAGATAAAATAAGTAAAATTCAGTGATTTCACAGCTATTTTGGTTTTAACCTTCAGTGATGTTGGGGCCACTGCTTCTCTGGGGTTTGATGCTCCTAGGACTTACATAAACTAATGCTGCTGTGGTGGGAGTGAGGATGAGGAGAAAAGGAAGATGTTCACCCTGGTCTGCTCAAGTTCTAGGCTGTATTCTTGTTTTACACATCATTTCTGTCATGTACATACAGGCCATTTGCAGAACTTTCTTGGATTTATGGTAAGTCATAAAGAAAAAAAGGAGTACATCAGTTAACAAAGTATTACCTCCATCACACCAAGCTAATCAAACATTGCTTGATGACTAAAAGCATCTATGTGTAGAACGAAAGTAAGAGTCTAACTCTTGTAAAGTTAAAAGCCACTTGTCTTCAGATTTTTCTCCCTCCTATGTGAAGCCTAGCATGGAGTGTATTGTACAATTGCACATATGTTTCTTGGCAATGTAGAATCTAGAAAGAGTAAGCTACTAAACATTACTCACTATGACCAGGAGAGGGCACCTAGCACAAATGAATAAAATAATTCAGTCAACACCAGGTTTTATTTAAAGATTCCTTTTGGACTTTACCATTTGCATTTTACAGACCAATTTATTTTATGTGTCCACTTTAAACTGGTTTTGATCTGATAACTTTGATTACACATTCTTCCTGATGACCATCTCCTACAATATATTATCCCAGGTGGCTGAGATACTGATTTTTTTCTATACAGGATGATACTGATTTTTTCTATACAGGATGCAAGAACAACAAGTCCACACAGATAGGAAACAATTACAGAGGAAAAAATTATTTTTGTAGATAATTTTCAAAAATTAATGCTCTAGAGGAATTAAAATGTGTTGAAGCAATATTTCAGAAGAGGAGAAACTCATATATTTACTGAAATCTTGTAAGGAAAGACTTCTTGTTCTTTTTCTTTCCTCCATTTCTTATGCATGTACGTGGTTTGGTCTAGATTGCAAGCCATGTTCAAAAAATTACCTTTGAACACTCTCAAACATGGGAAAGAATATTATTCTGTCATAAAACAAATGGAACACTATATTTCCCAGAAAAAAAAAAAGAAACTTGAATTTTATGTATTTCCTTTCTGGCCTAGCAGACATAAACAATACATTGGCCAACCATGTTCTTCAGGCATATAATTTTCTTTCTTCCTACAGTGGACATGCCCTGGGAAAATACAAATAACTTCTAATTTCAAATCCTTTCAACACAAAAAGAAAGTAGGCCACCTTGACCAGAGCACAAAATAATCTTTTCCAAGAGGACTTGAATGAGTACCTCATTCTCCAAGGGAAAAATACATACCAGGAGTTTTTACTGCTTTATTTTGTTTCATTTTTAAATACTTTTTATAGCCATGAAAAAAAAAACATATTGATGAATTGATTTTTCCAAAACAAAATCAGCATGTCTTTTAAATTTAGCATGAAAGTGGCTTCCCAGCTCCAGTATTTTTGAGAGTGGTTAAGAGACTTGCTTGGAGGGCGTTGCCCAATGTTTTCAGTTCAGGGGTAATAGTTCCACTCATGAGGCATTGATCTTACACTCTAAAGTCACCTAAAAATACCAAACTGTTTCTGTCCTACTAGAACAGGTTATAGGAATAAAGAATCCCTGCAATTCAACAGACTATGGTTTAATTTACATGATAGTAACTATAATCAACTTTAGTCCAGGAACCTAACTCCTTCCCATTCAAAGGAAGTACATTTTGCTTTTGGCTGACAATTCACTTTTAATTCATTAATAATAATAAGCAATATCTTTATTGAATGACTGCTATGTGCCATTATCCTCTTAACTATCTTCCAAGATAGGTTTTGTTATTCCTGTTTTACAGAAAATTGAGGAGATTCAGAGAAGTTAATGAACTATCCCTCAGTACAGAGTAATTAGTGACAAAAGCAGAATTGGCATGTCTGGCTCCTAAACCTATGTGGTCTCCATTAAACTTCACTACTTAATTGCATAAATTATTTTACCAAATTGAAATGCAAATCCCACTTTCTTTTAATAGCCATGGTAACTGCTTTCCCACTTTTCTATTTTTCAATATGGAAGAGAAAGGAGTTATGAAGCAAATTAATTTTTAGTTCCCCTAATAAGAAAGTACTATGAATTCTTATATAAAACACACTTAAATTACTAGGCTGAGTACACAGTATAATATATATTTTCAGAGATCTTGTTATTAATAAAATATTGCCATTTTTTTCTATTTACTCACATATTTTGTTTTAAACCCAGGTATAAATCTTGTTGTTAGATACAACACTTAATGATCTAATAATAAAGTTCTTGAGACAGCAATATATAGTTATCTGTGATAAAATATAGATTTTAGCAAGTTTAAGTAGATTCTGATACTCTGTCCATGTGCAACTCAGAGTCTCACACAAGTTTTAAAA